ATGCCTAGCCTGTTGTCTGCACGGAATATGAGCTCAGCAAATACCTATTGAGAAATTAAATGAAGAAATGAAGCAATCCACTGAAAAGCCTCTGTCCTCCTCTGAACCCCCTGCTAGTCTTACTGTTATCAGTAGAGGGCAGCAAAGACCCTGAGTTTTCTACCTTCTGATGTTGATGCTGGGAAAACTCCAGAAAACTTCCTTCCCTTTGCCAAATAGTAGACACGGGTTTATCAGGAGTTTCAGGAAAATGTCCGACTTTACAAAATCTTTCTTCTCCTTTCTCCTGAAGCCTTCTCTGCTCTGTACCAATTATAGAATTTTTCTTTTTTTAAGATTTCGGGCTGACAACACTTCTTAGGAATTAAAAACAGTTGTGGTATTGACTAAGCCAAAAAGAAACACAGTGGCTTCAGCCTGTCCCTTCCTGCCTGACAAGTTAGTGTGGGGAAAAAAAGACACTCCAATCGTGGCTGGCAGCTGTTTGGGACGTAAGGATTTACAGCTCTCCCTTATGGTGTATGGGGAGGAACAGGTACCAGCTAGGCAGCTGCTGTTTGTATTTTGAGCACTTGCAGGGGCCAAATGTGTGTGTGTGGGGGGGGGGTTTATGGTTATGTCTTCTGCTTGTATGTCTCCCCTTTTTGTTTAATAATCTCCCTACCCAGGGCAAAAACCTCACAGTCTCTTGCCTTTCTGGGCTCCTTTACCAAGAATGCCCACTGAACCAGGTAAGCAGCAGCAGAGGTGGCGTCCACACATTCCTAGAACGGCGTTTTCATTCACTGTCTGTCCAAAAAATACTGACCAAGTCCTATTCTGTTCTCTGTGGGTACAGATACTCCATTTGACTGAAAGAACAGTCAATGGAATAAAAAGGGAGGCAGGGGTTCTCAATCTCAGCAATACTGACGTTTTGAACTGGATAATTCTTTGTTGTGGGAGCATCCTAGGATGTTAAGCCACATCCCTAGCCTCTGCCCATTAGACACAGGTAGCACTGACCCCCTAAGTTGTGATAACCAAAAAATATTTCCCGACATTGCTGAATGTCCCCTTGGGGAGCCAATCTTCATCAAAACCTTGCAAACCACTATCTTGAAGATCATGATGGATAACTTTGGGACTATCTTTCCAGCCTGAGTCAATGACCCCTTTCTCCTAGCACTGTTCCTCCTCCCTGTCCCATGCTTGTCTGCCTGTGACCTGAAGCCTCGGGACTTGGTACACTGGTCATCTGACCCCATGTAGGCCTCTCAGCTTCTCTCCTCTGGGAATCTGAAACCAGGACCTAGGTACTGACTACCACCTGGGTTCTTTGTGGGGCCAAAACTTTAGTGCAAATTTAGGTGTGGGTGAATGTTTGATAACATGGGGCCAGCAAGCAGAGACAGTCTACTGCAGAGATAAGAGAGAAATAGAGAAACACAGAGGAAGAGTCAGAAAGAAGTCACCTAGTTCTAGCATTTTCCGGACAGGCCAAACTTCCTACCTTGGGTAGTTTAAGATATTCATGTACATTTATAAGAAATTGCTCTTTCGTGCTGGGGCAGTCTCTTGTTTGTTTGTTCCGTTACTGGCAAATGAGTCCTAATTGGTATATTCTCTTGGCTTGGAACCAAAATCATAACTAGGAAACAAGGGATCTAGGCCACTGAAGAGCAGTATTTAGCCCTCAAGGCGGCTCCACCTTCTTCAGCACAGGTAATGTTTTCTCCTTTCTCTCCCAAAAGGCTTCCTCATCCCCTCTAGAGAGTTTTCTCTTGTCTTTAACCTTGGCTTGTACACAGTCTGCTATGTCATGGCCTTGACTCAGCTTCTGGTTGTCCATTCGTTACCATCTTGACTGTAACAGCAAACCCAGGCCAGGTTTCTGGGCTCAGAATCCTGCCCAAGTGAGTCTGACTGGCTCATGTGGCAAACATGTTTGGCTGGCCATCCAACAACCATCCCTCCCCATCAGTTTTGTTCAGGTGAACAATCGCACGTGGTAAATTAAACTAGTTTGTAAGGGCAAAGAGACGTAAGAGGAATCTTCAGGAAGTGTGAGGAGGCTTATGGGAAAGAATTTTATCCTTGACAGAAGAAGGCAAAGCCAGTGGATGAGTTAGGCCATGCCCTTCCTGCTGGCCTTGGACATGTCATGTGAGGACGTGATACTTGAAGCCATGGCAGCCATTTTGAAATCGTGAAGTAAAGCCAAGAGAACCACAGAGAAACTGACAGAGGGCTATAACATCCTTGAGCCGATGAACTATTGAGCCAATGAACTAACCAACCCTGGAGCCATTTACCTTTAGACTTCTTGTTACATGAGATAATTAGATGTCCTTACGGTTTTAGCTACTTTGACTCAGGTATCTTGTTACTTGAAGCCAAAAGGATCCCAACAGATACAGGAGAGCTCATCTTTTCAGGCCAGGTCACTCAGGTCCTAGGTCACTTGCTGGCTACCCTGCAGATTTATTGTCTTGCAGTCATGCCCCTACCTCCAGACCATACGTTTATCCCACCCTAGCCTTTTATGATGAAAATTTAAAAGCTGACAGAAAAGTTGAGAAAATAATACAGTGAACAGTCAAATATGCTTCACCTATATTCATCAGTTGTTAACATTTAGCTCCATATAGTCATTGTACATATTCCCCTATATAAGGTTATTTTTTACTGAATCATTTGTGTTTTTTTATTAAATATTCTTATGTATTTCTAGGAGAGAGAGAGAGACAGCGTGAGCAGGGGAGGGTCAGAGAGAGAGGGAGTCACAGACTCTGAAATAGGCTCCAGGCTCTGAGCTGGCAGTCAGCACAGAGCCCAACGCGGGGCTCGAACCCACGAACCGCGAGATCATGACCTAAGCGAAAGTCGGACACTTAACCGACTAAGCTACCCAGGCGCCCCTTTACTGAATCATTTGAAAGCTGGTTAGAGACTATGAAGCTTTACCCTAAAGTATTTCAGCCATATAACTTGTAAGAAACAAGGTTTGGGTTTGTCTTTCATTCTTATCCGGGATTCTTCAAGAGTCACATGCTGTTTTAAAGTCATCTCCCTCTCTCAGAGCAGCTTCGTGATTCAGTCTGTTAAGCATCTGACTTCAACTCAGGTCATGATCTCATGGTTTGTGAGTTCAAACCCCGTGTCAGACTCTGCTGACAGCTCAGAGCCTGGAGCCTGCTTCAGATTCTGTCTCTCTCTGCCCCTCCTCCACTCACACTCTGTCTCTCTCTCTCTCTCAAAAATAAATACTAAAAATAATAATAATAATGTCATCTCTCTAAGTGTCTCTTTTATTCTAAAACAATTCTCCTGCCTTTCCTGGTTTTGGGTTTGTTTGGTTGGTTGGTTTTGGTTTCAGTCTTTTTTTTTTTTTTTTTTTTGGTCTTTCCTGTCATTGACTTTCAGGCCAGTTCTTTTATACAATGTTCACAATTTGGGTTGTCTGGTTGTTTCTTCAGAATTATATCCAGTTAAAGATTTTTAGCAAAACTCTACAGAGGCGAGGCTGGGACCATCTCAGCGCATCACACCACCAGTGCCTTTGTGTCCTTTTATTGGTTACACTAAGTTGAATCCATCAATTGAGGTGTTTGTTGTCTGTCTGCTAGCACTGCTCACTGGAAAGGCATCTCTTCCTCCTTAGTGATGAATGAGTAATCTGTGGGATGGTATTTGAAAACATGAGAGTATCTTGTGCCCCCAACATTTTCAGCGACTGCTTTAACAGTCATTAATAAGGCTTGCCTGAATCAACTATTATATTAGTGACTGCAAAAATCAAAATTTAAAAAAACTCTATCATTTTTTCCATACCTTTGCGCTGGAACCCCACTGTTTAAGAAGAAGAGCTTTTTCTTCCCTCCCACACACTTTTGCAATTTTCTCAAATATCATGATGAACTCCTAAGATTCATTACCACTTATTTTCTTTTTAATTTTCAGTTTGTCCCAAATTTGTCCCCTCCCGAGTGGGAGTGCCTTCAAATGGTTTCTGTGTCCTTCTGACACATCCCTATCTTTTTCTGAGCACTTCTTTGCTCTTCTAGCTGAGGAAGTCCCAAGGTCATCTTGTACTTTCCTTGACCCAGACCTGGAATCAGACCTGGTTCTTTTCAGTGAGAAAAGGTTGCTAGAAACCAAGAACTGAGTGATAAGAGTGCTCACTGCAATTGGGATGTCACTGATTCTGGACCCTTTCAGCAGACACAGACAGGAAGTGTATTTTATTTTAAATAATTAATTTATCTCAATCCCCCAACTCCAATCCAACACCACAGGTTTCTTCCTCCTTTCCCCAAGTCCCTATTTTATCTCCTTTCTCCCACATTGAAAACCCTGATTTTCACCAACATCAGTATAGCTACTCATTTACTGCTCCCTACAATACACCCAATAGTATCAGAATTACTATGTCAATACCACTACTAACAATCTTACTAATAAAGTACAAGACCATTTGAAGCTTTTATTTTATCCTTAGAATCTAGCCCTGTGGGGCACCTGGGTGGCTCAGTCGGTTAAGCGTCCGACTTCGGCTCAGGTCATCATCTCGCAGCTTGTGGGTTCAAGCCCCACATCAGGTTCTGTGCTGACAGCTCAGAGCCTGGAGCTTGTTTCAGATTCTGTGTCTCCCTCTCTCTCTGCCCCTCCCCCACTCATGCTGTGTCTCTCTCTCTCAAAAATAAACTATAAAAAAAATTTGTTTAATCTTCTCAAAAAAAAAGAATATAGTCCCCTAAAAGTAACTGTGTGTCTAAAAACCTTTAAACCTTGAAATAAATTCATGTGTTTATCTTCAAATTAGAGTTTTCCTGTTCTTTGTGGTAGTGGGCTTTTTATTATTTTTATTTTTAAAGATTTTATTATTTTTATCTTTTTAAATTTTATTGAAACATAACTTTTACAGAACATTGTGTAAGTTTCAGGTGAACAAATTGTGATTTGATATATGTATGTATTGCAAAATAATTACCACAATAAGTTTAGTTAACATCCATCATGAAAATATGGAATGCCTCATGAATTTGCATATCATGTTTGAACAAGGGCCCTGCTAATCTTCTCTGTATCATTCCAGTTTTAAGGTATGTGCTGCTGAAGGGGGCGCTCATATAACTTTTTGAATATGTAAAATGTTCCATAGTTTACAAGTTAAAATTATATGAAAAGGCAACTCAGAGAAGTTGTCTTCAATCCCTATACACATGAATTTTATTAGTTTCTGGTTTATCCTTTCTTATTCGCAGAAATTAGCATATACATACGTATATGCATATACATACATATGTCCTTATTTTGCCTTCCTTTTAATTCAAATGGTAGTATATGGTGTATACTCCTTTGCACTGTATTCTTTTCACTTCATATCGCTCTCTGTTGTATAATGCAAGTCTTTCACAGCACTAATATTTCACTCTATGTTCTATTTTATTTGCTCTCTCAAATGGATTTGTACTTACTTTATTTTAATGTTAGTTTTATATTAGAGCTAAAATAATCTTAGTCCCTCCATCTTATTTTTGTTATTTTCTATTGGTTCCCTACCAATATTTAAATTAGTTAATAACTTCTTTTCTCTTATCCCAATTCACCAGCTTCTCATGTGAATAAATATCCTTTTACCCCCCACAGTAACTATAAAATAATCAACAAGTATATTCTGTGTTTCATTTCTCTTACTCATCTGGCCCTTTAATTGTAGAATATCTACTTGGACTGGGTATGTACTTTTCTTACAACCATCATAGTTTTATGGCTAATTACATACTTATGTTCCTCATTAGTCCTCTTGTCAATGCCCTTCCCTTTGGGTGGTCTAAAACACCTTTCCTTAGGAAATGCCTCAGGAAGAAGCAGGGGAGCAATAGTCTCTGGTGCTCTCATGCTCATAACTTTTAACATGTTGGCTAGAAAGAAAATCTTTGCCTTATGTTTTCTTTCTTTGAATATTTTCAGTATGCTACTCTATTTGTTCTGGAACAAAGCCCAAAGACAGTCACTTAGGTCATTTGGTATTTTGACTAAATGCCCAAGCGATTTCTTTTGTAAACTCCAGACATCTCTTGGAATATATCTTGACAATGATCATTCAGGATTGATTTCCTAGGTACTCGTGTCAAATCTCTTTATTTCAGGAAAGTTTTCTTAAATTTCTTACCTTTTTACATTTCCTTTGCTTTTTATTTTCTTCTTTCTGTGTCTTCTAATAGAAGATTATTCAACCTATGTATGTGTGTGTTGATATTCTTTGCTTAACTTCTGTACTCACCACTTGCTCTTGAATCTCTTTGATCTGTTGAATTCACTTCTTTTCATCTTGTATTTATTTTTAAGGCATGATCTCTTTATTCATCTTCATGTACCATTTTAGGTTTTTTCCTGAAATTATTAATATTCTTTTTTTTAACATTTACTTTTGAGAGAGAGAGAGAGCACGTGGGGGCTGGAGGGGGGTGGACAGAGAGAGGGAGAGAGAAAATCCCAAGTAAGCTCTGCTTGGCCAGTTGAGAGCCTGACATGGGGCTCAAACCCACGAACCATGAGATCATGGCATGAGCTGAAGTCAAGAGTCAGACGCTTAACTGACTGAGACACCAGGCACCCCAATTAATATTAATTCTAATTCTGAGTTCTTCCACCTCATTTCTGAGATTTTTCTGATTATAGTCCTTTAATATTTTATTAGTTTTTAAGCTCTTCTTGAAATAGTAAGTTATATTTTTCATCTGTTTTATAAGTATGCCTTTTTAATGTTTTCATTGTTGGAAAGTTATTCTGTTCTATTGGATTTTTTTCCCAGTTTGAGATATAATTGGCCTATAATATGGTTTAACTTTACGATATATACATATGTTTTTGCGTATAGGTGGATTAGGAGAAACTTAATGGAGGACCATGGTGGAGGAGAAGGGGAAAAATAGTTGGGGAGAGGGAGGGAGGCAAACCATTACAGACTCTTGAATGCTGAGAACAAACTGAGGGCTGATGGGGGGAGGGGCGAGGAGAAGGAGGGTGATGGGCATCAAAGAGGGCACTTATTGGGATGAGCACTGGGTGTCATATGGAAACCAGCCTGACAATAAACTATGAAAGAAAAAGAAAGAAAAAAGAGTTTATAGTATATGAATCAATGATTTTATATATGTATATATTATAAAATGATTACCATAATAAGGTTAGTTAACATATCCAACTTAGTGTTGGATTTGAACATGATCTAATTCTATTACTTCCTTTTATGTGAATTGAGGTGTTTTTTATGAAAAAGGGGTGAGTTAGGACAACTTTTCTGGCTTCAGTGCTCTATATCTCCCTCTTACGAGGTCCTCACAAAGAATTCTCTTAAAAATATTTATTTATTTATTTATTTGGGAAGGAGGGGTAGAAGGAGGGAAAGAGAGAATCCTAAGCAAACTCCACACTCAGCACAGAGTCCTGATGTGGGGGCTCAAAGGGATCATGACCTGAGCCAAACTGAAGAGTCGGGCATTTGACCAACTGAGGCACTCAGGCACCCCAAGAATTCTTTTTAAATGGCCTTATGCTTTAGGAGATGTGATTCCTCTGCTTTTTTATTTAGGCTTTCTTTTTCTTTTCTTCTACCCTTTTTCCTTTCCTCTGATTTGAATACTACTCTCAGAACTCCACCCTTGGTGTGAGACTTCCTCCTGAAAAGGAGCTTGGTAATTTTGAAGGCTTGCACACCCAAGACTATAGCAGCTCCTTTAGATTCTGCCTTGAACCCCACAGAGCCACAGCTTTCTTGGAGTCTACAAAAGCCCTTCTTGTTCTAGCTGTTCTCAAATTGCTTCACTCTGCATTTCAGTGAATACTGTTGTCAGTTTAGAGAGTTGTGTTCTCAGGTCCGTCAGATACCTCCCTGCTCCCTCCTGCCCTGACATGGATACACAGAGCAATGCACCTTTAGTAACTGGGGGTGTTCCTCCACCTGCTCATGTTTTGGGGTTCATGAAGATACCGTGTACACCTAGTTTTTTGTTTTTTTTTTACAAATAGTTTATTGTCAAATTAGTTTCCACATAACACTCAGTGCTCATCCCCACAAGTGTCCTCCTCCATTCCCATCCCTCCCCCCCCCCACATCCATCAGTCCTCAGTTTTTGTCAGCATTCAAGAGTCTCTCATGGTTTGCCTCTCTCCCTTTCCCCCACCATTTCCCCCCTTCTTCTCCCCCTTGGTCCTCCGTCAAGTTCCTCCTAACCCTCCTATACGTGCAAACATATGATATTTGTCCTTCTCTGCCTGACTTATTTCACTCAGCATAACACCCTCAAGGTCCATCCACGTTGCTACACATGGCCAGATTTCATTGTTTCTCATTGCCATGGAGTATTCCATGGTATAGAGAAACCACATCTTCTTGATCCATTCATCTGTTGATGGACACTTAGGCTCTTTCCATGTTTTGGCTATTGTGGAGAGTGCTGCTATGAACATTGGGGTCCATGTGCTCCTATGCCTCAGCATTTCTGTATCCCTTGGGTAAATTCCTAGCAGTGCTATTGCTGGGTCATAGGGGAGTTCTATTGTTAGTTTCCTGAGGAACCTCCACAGTTTTCCAGAGGGGCTGTACCAGTTTACATTCCCACCAACAGTGTAGGAGGGTGCCCGTTTCTCCACATCCTCGCCAGCATCTAGAGTTCTCTGATTTGCTCATTTTAGCCACTCTGACCGGCGTGAGGTGGTATCTCAGTGTGGTTTTGATTTGTATTTCCCTGATGAGGAGGGATCCTGAGCATCGTTTCATGTGTCTGTTGGCCATTTGGATGTCCTCTTTGGAGAAGTGTCTGTTCATGTCTTCTGCCCATTTCTTCACTGGGTTGTTTGTTTTTCGAGAGTGTAGTTTGGTGAGTTCCTTATAGATTCTGGATATTAACCCTTTATCTGATATGTCGTTTGCAACTATCTTTTCCCATTCCGTTGGTTGCCTATTAGTTTTCTGGGTTGTTTCCTTGGCTGTGCAGAAGCCTTTTACTCTTGATCAGGTCCCAATCATTTATTTTTGCTCTTGATTCCCTTGCTTTTGGGGATGTGTCAAGTAAGAAGTTGCTGCGGTGGAGGTCAAAGAGGTTGTTTCCTGCTTTCTCCTCTAGGGTGTTGATCGTTTCCTGTCTCCCGTTCAGGTCCTTTATCCATTTTGAGTTTATTTTTGTGCATGGTGTGAGAAAATGATCTAGTTTCATTCTTCTGCATGTTGCTGTCCAGTTCTCCCAAAACCGTCTGTTAAAAAGGCTGTCTTTTTTCCATTGGATATTCTTTCCTGCTTTGTCAAAGATCAGTTGGCTGTATACTTTTGGGTCCACTTCTGAGTTCTCAATTCTGTTCCATTGGTCTATGTGTCTGTTCTTGTGCCAATACCATACTGTCTTGATGATGACAGCTTTGTAGCAGAGGCTAAAGTCTGGGATGGTGATACCTCCCGTTTTGGTTTTATTTTTCAGTATTCCTTTGGCTATTCGGGGTCTTTTGTGGTTCCATACAAATTTTTGGATAGTTTGTTTTAGTTTTGAGAAGTATGCTGGTGCAATTTTGATTGGAATTGCATTGAATGTGTAGAGTGCTTTAGGTAGTAATGACATCTTAACTATATTTATTCTTCCTATATATGAGCATGGAATGTTTTTCCATTTCTTTGTGTCTTCTTCCATTTCCTTCATAAGTTTTCTATAGTTTTTATCATACAGATCTCTTGTATCCTTGGTTAGGTTCATTCCAAGGTATTTTATGGTTTTTTGTGCAATTGTGAATGGGATCAGTTTCTTGATTTCTCTTTCTGTTGCTTCACTGTTGGTGTATAAAAATGCTACCGATTTCTGTACGTTGATTTTGTACCCTGTAACTTGGCTGAATTCTTGGATCAGTTCTAGTAGGCTTCTGGTGGAGTCTGTCAGGTTTTCGATGTAGAGTATCATGTCATCTGCGAAGAGTGAAAGTTTGACTTCCTCTTTGCCAATTCTGATGCCTTTGATTTCCTTTTGTTGTCTGATGGCTGATGCTAGGACTTCCAGCACTATGTTAAACAACAGTTCACCTAGATTTTTTAAGGTGTTGACATTGGGCCTTGGATTTTGCCTTTAATCTGGTTTT